AATTGAATTTCAATGCATTCCTATGGGATTTCGTGCTTCGCAAGACGAAAAATTCGCTAGACGAAAAAACTTGCAGAACGAATTAATTTCGTCTTGCGAGGCACCACTGTATGTTTGAATACTCTCTCATATAAATAGCCTTCTGCATATAGAACACTGGCAAGTTAGGACACAATTGTTTGTTTGTTTATTCAGTTGTAGTGGAGCAATGGAGACAAGTTTTTCCTACTGCCTGGAGATAGGCATTTTGTGGTAATATCACAAATTTTATGGTCTGCTTTTTAGTATACCTAAAATCCTTTGCTTATTAGGGGCCACCCCAAATTTTCTTCAAAAAATTGCTTTGCACAGGTAACTACTATAGAGTTAACAAAATTTTCAAAAGTAGGGGGTCCATGGCTTGGCTTTTGAAAAATAGTAGGTCCTCAGTAATTAGCTAATTGGGAACCATTGCACTGAGCTGTAGCAATTCAAAGCTGAACATCTAGCCAGAGGCAGATTTAGGGGAACACAACTGGTTCATGAAGCCTCAAGGGCACCACAGTGGGCGCCACAGCTATGAAGTACAGTAACTGGGAGGTGAGAGGCAGGGGGATGTGGATTTTGGCTTTGCACAGGGCGCCGCTTGAATCTGAGACCCCCATGGTATGCCACTGATCTAGCCCCAGAATGTAACAATACTGTACTTGAGGAACAAGCATTTCCTAATCCTTAATTCTCCTCCTATGTGAGATTGTGATTCAGCATGGCCCCAACTTGTTTGTTCTAATAACAATCCAGGATGTTCATGATTGTCCCAATACACCTATGCAAAATAAACACACGGATTTCATACGTCATACACAGTGCCGGATTTACGTATAAGCTAAACAAGCTATTGCTTAGGGTCCCACTCTCTTGGAGGCCCCCAAAAAATTAAAGGGAAAAAAACCCTGGATGTACATTTCCAAAATATAAGATAAAAAAACAAATAAAATAAAACCTACATACAGTTAGAGCTTAATAATTATTTCACTATTAATATACTTCTTCTTAATTGCATTTCACTATTAATATACTTCTTAATTGTATTTCAGTTCAACAGTTACTTTGATAAAATACATATTTTGTTATGTGCAAATGGCTTTAGATACCTGTTAGGTCCATAAATTACCATATAGCATATATTCAACACAAAAAACAGCAACAATTTGTTGTTGACAAAGGACAGCTGGACATATAAAGGGCCCCGTTACCTTCAGTAGCTTAGGGCCTCATCAAACCTAAATCCAGCCCTGGTCATACAAATTGACTTCAATTTACCTATTTTCCTAGGTTGCAGTTATCTCCATGTAGGCACAGAATCAGTTGCCCTAAGTGACAGATGTCCTGCAAAAAGCTATACATAGAACTCTGTTCATCTGCTTCATCTAATGTTCTGGGGGTATTCCTAACACCACCACCACTGCCTTTCTGTTAATTTCAGGGAGAAGAGAGGAGGGATAATTCTACTGGGTGTCATGAAATGCTTGCACAGATAGAATGACTGAAAGAGCACAGTACTGTATTGAATTCCAGCCTATATCTTTTCATTAGATGGAGCAGATAAATCACCACAAGGTGGAGTTCTAAGTACAGCTTTGTTTCCAGAAGGCCAGTGAAGAAACAGACGTGTGAGGACCACTGTGTGGCAAACTTGCTACATGGAAAACAGTCTATATAAGAAGTAGTTTGCAAAATGTGTAATGTGCACAAGCCTTGCTGTGAGTACACAGTCCAAAATGCATGCATATATGATTGTTGCATCTAACAATGTACAAGGAATTTTAATGTAGTCTCTCTTACCAGGTTTTTATGAATACTTTTGCTTCACTTTGTACTCTAGCCTAAAAAAACTGTTGTGATGCTACCTGTAAAACCCATAGCTTAGGCATAGGGAAACTCGGCCCTCCAGATGTTTTGGGACTACAACTCCCGTCATCCCTAGCTAACAGGACCAGTGGTCAAGGATGATGGGAATTGTAGTCCCCAAACATCTGAAGGGCCAAGTTTGCCTACGCCTGCCATAGCTCAAATCTTTCCTTTCATGGAACATCTACTAGGTCATCTTGGGAAAACCAGTACAGTGGACGCTCGGGTTGCAAACGTGATCTGTGCAGGAGGCATGTTCGCAACCCACAGCGCCACGTCTGCGCACGTGCGGGTCATGATTTGGAGCTTCTGCGCAAAACGCGATTTAGCGCTTCTGCGCTTGCACTGAAACCCGGAAGTAACCTGTTCCGGTACTTCCGGGTTCGGCGTGGTGTGCAACCCAAAAACACGCAACCTGAAGTGTCTGTAACCCGAGATATGACTGTAACTCTCTGTCCCGGTACTGTTTCTTTGCAATGTGAGGTCAGAACAGTCATACCTCAGGTTGAAGTAGCTTCGGGTTGAGCGTTTTCAGGTTACACTCCACGGCGACCCGGAAGTAATGGAACGTGTTACTTATGGGTTTCGCCACTCGTGCATGTGCAGACGCTCAAAATGACGTCACACACGGAAGCGGCGAATTGTGACCTGCACATGCGCAGACGCGGGTTGCGTTCACTTCAGGATGCGAACGGGGCTCTGGAACGGATCCCGTTCCCATTCAGATGTACCACTGTATCCCATCATAGAATGTGGTATGGAATTCAGAGGGTTATGTCTGTAAAGTGAGTCAAGCACTTGTAAATACTTATTGTTGTGTTTAGCCATATCTGAATTCAGGTATAAATATGTCTACAACATTACATGAAGGCTGGCAACATTAACCCCACTGTGTGGGAAACCCTTGCAGATGACTGCAGTGCCTGGAGAGAAGGAGACAGCCAAGTCATGTATTCACAGCTGTGACCAGAGGAGAAATTACCGTATTTTTCGCTCTATAGGACGCACTTTTTCCCCTTCAAAAATGAAGGGGAAATGTGTGTGCGTCCTATGGAGCGAAGACGCCATAGCCCCGCGACCCTCTCCCAGCTGGAGAGGTGACGCGCGGCTATGGAAGGAGCCTCTATCGCCGCGCGTCACCTCTCCAGCCGGGAGAGCACGCGCGGGGCTAAAGAAGCCCCCCGCGACCCTCTCCCGGCTGGAGAGGTGACGCACGGCTATGGCAGGAGCCTCCATAGCTGCGCGTCACCTCTCCCGCCGGTAGAGCGCGCGCGGGGCAACAGACCCTATAGCCCCGCGACCCGCCCCCGGCTGGAGTGGTGACACACGGCTATGGCAGACGCATCCATTGCTGCGTGTCACCTCTCCCGCCGGGAGAGCGGGCGCGGGGATAAAGATGCCCCCCGCGACCCCCCCCCGGGCGGTAGAGGTGACGCGCGGCTATGGCAGGAGCCTCTCCGCTGCGCCTTTCCGCTGCTCCCTGACCTGCTCTTTGGGGCTGGTGGTGGGCTTCCCCGCCAGCCCCAAAGAGCAGGTCGAAGGAACCTGAAGCCTGGAGAGTGAGAGGGTCGGTGCAAACCGACCCTCTCGCTCTCCAGGCTCCAAGGTAGCCGCCTGAACGGCACCTTGTTTTAGAGCGGGAAAACAAGAGGGAAAATTCTCCCTCTCTCTGCGCAACGCCTCCTGCCGCTTTGCTGAAGGGGCGCTGGGCAGAGAGGGGGAGAATTTTTTTTTCTTGTTCTCCCCTCTCTAAAACAAGGTGCGTCCTATTGTCCGGTGCGTCCTATGGTGCGAAAAATACGGTACTACTGAGAGGAACGCAGATAGAAGAAATGCTATGGTGCATCTGTAACAGTGAAGCGAGACACCTTCATCTTCCCCAGTTGCAATAAAACATATCTCTCCTACAGCCACAGCAGGTGCTATATCTCTCCTCTCTTTCACTGTCTTTCGAGACAGATTGGTGCCAACAATAGTCTTAAAAGGTAAAGGACCCCTGACAGTTAAGTCCAGTCACAGATGACTCTGGGGTTGTGGCGTTCATCTCGCTTAACAAGCCAAGGGAGCCGACATTTGTCTGCAGTTTTTCTGGGTCATGTGGCCAGTATGACTAAACCACTTCTGGTGCAACGGAACACCAAAACCAGAGCAGCACATGGAAATGCCGTTTACCTACTCGCCGGAGCGGTACCTATTTATCTACTTGCACTTTTTGGCATGCTTTCGAACTGCTAGGTTGGCAGGAGCTGGGACCGAGCAACAGGAGCTCACCCCGTCGTGGGGATTCAAACCGCCGACCTTCTGATCAGCAAGCCCAAGAGGCTCAGTGGTTTAGACCACAGCGCCATAGTCTTACCTGAATTCAATTTCATTTGGTTTGCTACAAGCCACTTTTCAACTTTGTCCAGACACTAAGCAATTTACAGTACTGATAAATCAGAAAATAAATATTTGAGAGTGACAAATTAATTCCAACCCCTGCTGAATGCCATCTAAAGGGGGCTGGAATGGGTAAAAGTGTCCCTCTGACAGTTGAGAGCAAGGATATTACATCTGCAGGCATTGATCTCTTGGTGGCAGTAGAGGCCAAGGCAATGGGGGTGCTGCGGTCAGATCCAAACCCTTCTCAGATGTTCAGGTTCCTTACTTTTAAGAATTTTAAACAAATATTTTTAGGAACCATCCTTTTTTGGAATTGTGGTTTTAAATTGTTTTCCGTGCTTTGCATGGTTAAAGTGCCCTGGGACTTCAGGGTGAACGGCGGGCAACAAATTACATTGTTAACAATAATGATAATAAGGGATTTATGCATTTGCCTTGGCAGGGTTGTTTTAGATTCCCTTTTCCCTTTTTAGATTAGTACTAAATAAGATGTGAGCTACAACAGCCTCTGCAGCTGCCTTTCTTGTTTGGAAGCAGCCATACGACGTCCTCCCTTCCCTCTGGGCGAGACGGGAGATTGGCGTTTGTTTTTTTAAAGGCTTCCGACGCGCAGGCGCAAACCCTCTATCCAGTCGCTGTTACGCGTCCCTCTGCCCTTTCTTTTCTCTATGGCGCATTTCCCGGAAGCCGCCTTCTCTGACTTGTTCAGGCACCTGTCCTCTTACTCAATGGGTCCGGGTGGAGCAGCGGCCCTAAGCAGCGAAGAGCACGCTGTCCTCTTTTGGTGCGTCCTCACTCGGGACAATGGGATAGCGGTGAAGTTCTATCTGCCAGGAGTGGCCGCTTGCCATACCGCCCCTTTGGGGGCGGCAGGAGAGGAAGAAAAGGCCGAGCTCTGTCGCCGAGTGAAGCGTCTCTGCAGCTGCCGCCGCCGCCGCCTCCTCCTCCTCCCTCTCCGAGACAGGTGAGGCCCGACTTCCCTTCCTCCTCGTTAGGATGCAACAAGTTGTCTCTTCGGGCGGGGAAGAGAGTTGACAGAGGGAGGGCAGCCATTCCTGGCTCCTTTCTCGCCTTCCCCTCCACCCCCTTTACATGGGCAGCCTTTTCTGTTGCTTTTCTCCCCAACTTCTCGCAGGACTTCCCATCTCCGTACCGGTTTTGGCGCTCTCTCACTGATTCTGACTTGAGTCCTTGCGTTGTGGCGCGGGCGCCGTTAATGTTTCCTGTGCTTTACGAATGTTGTAGGGGCTGCTTCACGCGGCAATTCTTACAACACCATGTCAGGTAGATATTGCAGGTGTGCAGCTGGGAAAGCGCGGCTCCCATTTGCTGGAAGCCACCCAGAGAATTTATAGGAGAGACAAGATTGGAGCTGGTCTTTCCTGATTTGTAACGGTTTATCAATTCAGCTATCGGTCATCAATTCGCAGAAGTGTCTCCTTGTGCACTGAGTTGCTGTTGTGTGTGCACTTGAGCATTTGTTTTTAAATGTTTTGTGGGAGTGCCTTTTTGTGGGATATTCACTTGTCTGCTTGCTCTTTATTGCTGAAAGAAAGACTTTTAAACATGATGAGTGCCCCCCAAAGGACCAATAGCTCTTTTTGAAAAGCAGGTGGTTATTTCATCAAAAAGACATTTGTGGCCCCATCTCTGTCAGGTACACAGATCTAGTCAATGTATGCCAGTAAACCCATGTGAATTAAACGAATGAAGATGATCACTGAAGCCTTTTTAAATCGGAGCAGGTTTCCATCATAGAACTCAGTTTGCTGCTCTTGTCTTTGTCACTGCACTACACAAAGAGGATGATGCTGGGACACAGCAAGAGAACCGAAGAAAGCCATACATAAATTGTTGTTGTTGTTTATTAGATATATATACTTCCCTTCATCAAAAGATCTCAGGGAGGTTCACAAGATAAAGTCTGGAACAAAGTCCCTCCTGTACAAAGAAAGCTATATTAGATGGGCTTTGGATTTTACAACATTGAAAGCCTGTTTTCTACTATTGTAAAAGTGCTACATGGGAGATTAGAATCTGTTGCCATACGTTGCACTTCATAGACTTTAAGAAGCAGAGGGTAGACAAGTATTACAGGTTCCCTAGTTGCTTCACTCCCAAACTTGATTGTTGTGTTTACTTGGCAATGACAGCAGTCTGTATTCAACTTAAGAGTATTCTGGTCTTTAGTGAAAATTGTCTGGAAATTCAAACTGACAGTTCCAAACACTTCTTTATAATATACTATGCAGATCTTTATATACTTTAAAAAACTTGTTTTGTTTTCTTTTTAAACAGAATATGATAGGCCGAAATGAATCCTGTGGTGCAGAGCAGATGCCCATGTCTTACTTGACTTGCCTGCTTTACATACTGGAAGGATGGACTGGAGTCGAACACTTGGACGAATATCTGAGTTACCTGGTCTACCTCACATGGCTCTTTGCACCATTGCTTGTAGCACTTTTACTTCCTGCACTCATCCTCGTTCTTGTATATGTCAGCATTTTTATTCTTTATATTTACAAGTTACGGACACACCTAAAAGAGGTTTATTCAAATGATTTTTGGGATAGTGCAAGACTAGCAGTGTTAACTTTGTGGTATGTTCATGGAAGAATATGGAATGGTAAGTACATTTTTCTTATGTAGATGATATAAGCTAAATAGTCTTCAAGTATAAGGATACAAAATCCTATACTTGTTTTCAGAAGAACTTTCCCAAGCATTTTTTTCAGTAGCACTGCATAAACTACTTTGTTATTACAGTTTCAGAGGTTCAGTATTTTTTTATTCCACTTCCTAATCAATCACATTCCTATATTCAGAATGTGTATGCGTTGTAAAAAAAATTGTTTGATTAAAGAGGAATTATTCCACTGTAGAAAGTAGCTTTATATTTTACATTCACGTATGTTTGAGGGAGGCAAATGATAATAAGGTTTATGTTAAAGGAGCTCTTTCTGAGTTGTTCGTTGCTAACTAGTTGCACCATATATTTCCCAACCTCACTGGAGTGCAAGGTGGACTTTCTGGAGATCGTAAAAAGAAGCAAAAAACAAAATCATTTTGATTTTGCACCATCTATTACCCAGATGTGTGTTTGTGCACACACCTCTTTGATGAGGAATGCATGGTGTGTGCATAGGAATGCATAGGCCTTTTCCTACAGGAAAGTGGAATTCTGTTGTGATTCATTCCTTTTAAGCAAGAACTGCACCAGTCTAAGAGGGTACATGAGATTCTCAAGACAGTATAACAATAAACTCTTTAGCTTGTTCACTATAAATCTTGGACTACAAGGCTTTTTAGACAAGCTTCTTGTTAGGGAGAAGTCTTGTAGAATAGACAATAATGGGGATGCATCAGTGGTTTCCTTCCTTCTTCCCAGCTGCCAGAAATCAAGGTGTTCCTGTGAACTTTCAAAGAAAACAGGAACTTCACGTAATGAACTCTGTCTACTTTTCTTCTGCTTCAGACTACCTTAACTATCGTTTCCCAGTCTGGTATGTCATACTTATTGTCTGTTACTTTCCTGTGCTGTACAGGCACTAATATTTAGCAACTGTATTCAGGTGACGTAGTTTGTCCTTGAAAGACAGATTTCGTCTGAGTGAATATTTAAATATATTTTGAATTTATATGCCCAATGATGTGAGGTTAATTTTTTTAAATAAGTAAATCGGATTTTTTACAAAAGGTTCTAAAAGATACCGTGAAAGTCAGTAATGAAACAATTAAAGGCTTTCTAGGCATGGTTGCTAGACTTCTTCCCTTCTTTCTTTTTGCTTGAATAATGTATGCTAATTGTAGCAAGTATATTTTAGAAGAAAATGAATAGCATGAGATTGCCTCTGAGTCTGACTAATGGAATTGGTGGCAAAGTATAGTCAGAAGTCTCTTTGCTTGAAAAACTACATGATGACCAGGAAAACCAGTTACGTTGTTTCAAGCCTGCAATACTATGTCTACTCATTCCCATTCAAGTCCCATTCAATTCAGTGGGGCTTTACTCCTAGACAAATGGGGTTCCAACCTCAGTCAGTATTTCTGCTCCTTCCCTTGCAAATGATAATGAATAGCTTCACACTTATTTCTGTTCAAAACCTAAGCAGCCTAATTAATCCTTCAAATATTCCATAGCTCAGGGGAGGACAGACTTCAGGCTTGTGGGATTTACATTTTTTTCTATTAAAACCCGAAGATCTATTAACCAGAGCCAGGTGCAAACAGACACAAGTACTTAGAATTAATAAATTCTGAACCCAGTGACTTTGAGCATCAGAACAAAACTGAACTCTTCAGTCCCTCCACACACTGATGCATCACTTTCTGCTTCATTTCAGCACTATACAGTAATGTGGGTGTGGGAGTCATTGCTAAACAATTGGGGATTTGGGAATCCTTGCCAATCTACTTAAATTCCCCAGAAATCTGCTGGTAGATTTTGCTCCACAGTGTCCATCAATGCCCTAGCCTAGCCTAACCTGTCATATGGAGGGAAATAGTTAAATAAAGGAAAGTATGCAATTAGGGCAGGAAAGAGGAACCTGTGGCCCTCCAGCTGTGGTTGTACTTGCAACTTCTCTAAGCCCCAGCCAGCATGGGCTGTGGGTGTGGATCATGGGGGTTGTAGCTAACATTTGAAGAGCCTGAACTTTTCTGTCCATGACATAGGCCATGATATAGAAATCTTCTGTATTTCTGTTCAAGCCAGCAAAACCTCTTAGCCACAAACGCTGTGACCCAAATTCTAAAAAGTTGGTTATTCAGGATTAGAGTGGCAAACTGCAAGAACCACCCACATGTGTTGCCTCTTGATTCACTGGAATCTTTGATTGTCCTTGAATCTTCCTGCCACAATTGACATCCTCTCCTGCCACACCAGTGTGGCAAGCCACACCGCTTGAGAACCACTGACTTAAACCATCGGTCTAATAAGGCACATATATATGCTTTTGCCAATATATTCTCTTCCCCCATCCCAAGCTTCACAATTATGTGGCCCTCCAGAGGAAAGAGTACAGAAAAACTAGTGGGGAAGATGGAAGAATGACTGTGGAAAGTCCAACAAGTTCAGCAAGTGTGTAATTATAGCAATTATCCACATTCATTTAGGGAAGTGGGGAGAAGCCCTCTTTATGGAAAAAGGCATTTTACAACTTTTAAGAATTAGAATAAAAATAATTAATGGACTGAGTAAAGGTAAAGGGACCCCTGACCATTAGGTCCAGTCGTGACCGACTCTGGGGTTGCGGCGCTCATCTCGCTTTATTGGCCGAGGGAGCCGGCGTACAGCTTCAGGGTCATGTGGCCAGCATGACTAAGCCTCTTCTGGCGAACCAGAGCAGCGCACGGAAACACCGTTTACCTTCCCGCCGGAGCGGTACCTATTTATCTACTTGCACTTTGATGTGCTTTCGAACTGCTAGGTGGGCAGGAGCAGGGACCGAGCAACAGGAGCTCATCCTGTCATGGGGATTTGAACCACCGACCTGATCAGCAAGTCCTAGGCTCTGTGGTTTAACCCACAGCGCCACCCGCGTCCCTGTAATGGACTGATATATACAAATATTAAGTTGTGTATTATCAGGCAAATGCTGTAACAAATTCAGTCTGCTTCTGTTCTTAACCAGATAGTCCCCAGTAAATGGCTGGCATAGGACAAAGGTAGCTAATCACTTTAAACCCAAGGACTGCATTCAGTTTTGACCAACTTGCTTGAGGGTTTGATGCCAGAGGAGAGAAAAAGAAATTCATGTTCACCTGCATGCACTGTACTGCACTGCACTTGTTCACCAATGAATCTCTGTCTCTGGCACACACCAAAATCATGCACATACAGGGATCCTTTCTTTTTCTTCCCCTGTGCAACTCTTCATTAATTCTACAGGTGACAGCACCCTTTGTCTTTGTCCTCAGTGCAACTTAATGGCAACAGCAATCTCTCCATTAACTTGACTGGAGAAGGGAAAAGGCCCTTGGTGGGCCATGTGAGGCTGTCTTGTGGGTCTGATCTGGTCCATAGTTCATAGATTCGTCACCACTGCCACAGGATACAATAGTATACCTTAAGGCAGCTTACTGTCAGTGTACCATAAGAGCAGTGCTAGGAAATATTTGTTGTGCCAGATGCTTACATGTTTTATGCTGGTGCTTAGCAATGTGAAATATTATTTTGCCGAATATGACCACCTCTTTTATTTATGTATCTCTATGGTCTCCCTTATTCCTGAGTTCAGATCTTTGTAGTTGTATACAACCTTGATAGCATCAGTTTTATAGACCGTTATTCATCTCCCTTTTCACCTGACCACTGATACTGTGTTAGTGGCACAGGTTGATGAACCTGAAAGTCAATAGGAAAAACAATTAGGACATGCAACAAAAAGTTGCAATGTATCCTTGCCCCTCCCCCCCCAAATAACAGGGTTGTTCTGTACTCTCTGGGCGCTATAAGCTGTAAGGGCTTAAGCAAGCCAGTTCAAGCGCTTAAGCAAGCCTGTCATTTCATATGAAGCTTACTTTGGTAACAGGTTGTGCTTCTCTGGTAATTCATTATCCAAATTTAAAAAGCATACTTAGTTTTTAATACAGCACAGGTCCAACTGTTGTAAAGTAGTTGTACAATACCCACAGTGGATGAAGCAGAGCCTTTAGCAAAGTGTAATGGAAGAGTGGTTTGGCCAGGATTCTTCAGGAAAACTTGGAAAGGAATGGGGTTGAGACAGCTACCCAAGGTAGATCCCAGAATAAAATGACATTGCCAACCCAAAAGTGAAAAACTAGGTTTAGAAAACCCGAATTTACAGTGGGTGGGCATGATGTAACCACAAGTTTTTGATGTTGAAAATTATTGCAAAGACATGTTCTTTCTTGACAAAGAATGAAATTTATGATATTTTATTGCTTGTAATGAAAATTTTATGTATTTTGGACATCATGGGGAAAATGGCTACTGGGTAGCCATTTCGTACAACTTTCCTACAATCCATAGCTGTAATAGAAAAAAATTAATGAAACAAAGTTGTATATCTTAAAAATTAAAATAATATTGGTTATTATAGGTTCTTTTTGAAAGTGCAGACTTGTTTTAATTTTGGGAAATTTTGGGAAATTTGAAGTTATTACAGCTATGGATTTTCTAAACCTAGTTTTTCCACCCAAAAAACTAGGCTACAAGTACATTTATTTTTTAAAAAAATAGGCATTTATAAAATCTTTTGAGTGCTGGTGTATTTTTTTTCTTAAATCGTCATCATTTTATTGAGCTCTGTGTAAAATTTCAATCTGATACTTGTTTATGGAGAAGAAGAAGAAATGTACACAAGGGTATCTTATGCCGAGGGTCTCAATAGGGACAGACAATGCAGATTTAACAAAACTTCCAAGTACTATAAAATTAAAACCGTTTGAGATGGAGGGAAAAATTTAAGTGGGTTTCAAATTTCATCAACATCCGAGATGGAGGGTGACATGACCTCATTGAAATGACATGGAATGACCCTTTCCTTAAACTCAGGTTGATGACGGTTCTTGGATATTCTTAAGCATTTCTATTTGGCTAAATAGTCAGGTGTTCACATGAATTTATCTTTACCTGTCTTGCAGCCCAGGGCTGGTCCAGCCATTAAGCAGAGTGAGACTGCTGCCTCAGGCAGCAGAAGCCCCCAAGGCTGTGTCCTTATGGGCACCCCTTCTGCCCCACTGCCTCCACCGCTGCCATTTACACTGATTTCCAGCGAGATTTTTCTTCAAATTGGCACCATTGCTGGAGGCACCAGGATGGCACTTCCTGTTTCTCCTTAAGCGAGTAAAATGGGACACTCCACCCCTGTTGCAACCCACCTATTTGATGAAACATAATTATAATTAGATTATGAAACAATGAACTGAAGGTTGGGAAGTTCCCCTTTTCAGATCTTGCCTCAGGTGACTTGGTAAACAATTTTGAGTATAGCACAATAAACATAGAAAAATTTCTAAATATTTTACCCTACCTTGCCTTAACCTGAAATGATTTTATTCCATTCTTTCTAAAAAAAAAAAGCCCAGACCAGTACACTACATTTAAAAACTTATAAATGATCAACATGGAAAGGCAGTGAAATAGCAGAACTACTAAATTCCATAGCCCGTTTATGGCCCAAATCCCCAGGTGAACATTTTAAAAATTGGTATCTGAATAGTGACAGTGTGGGGGACAACCACATTTCTTTTGGGAGGGAGTTCCATGTTCAGGATGCTGCCACTGAGAAGGCCACTGCCTTAGACCACCACCAATAAGCCAGGCCACTGGTTGGATCTTGGAACACAGGCCTGTAGGTATTGGAAGAGCACTCCCATTGGGAAAGTAGGTATTGGGAGGAGTATTTTGCTCCTAAGTCATCTGGGGCGTTGTATACCAGTACCAACACATTAAAATAGGCCCAGTAGCATGCAGTCAGCCAGTGCAGAGTTCTGAGGATTGGAATCACTTGAATCCCATCTGGCTGCCCCTTTTAGGAGCCTGGCAACCACATTTTGCACTAACTGCATCTTCCAGACTATAGTTAAGGGTAGCCCCACGTAGAGTGCATTGCAGTAACAAGTCATGAGGTTATCGGAGCGTGGATTACTGATATCTGCTGTCCAAGTCCATGAATTGCTATAGCTGGTGAGGAGTAACTATTCCCACTGAGGCTACTTGTACTTCCAGTGACAGCTTTGAAATCTTGGAGAGCTCCCAAACCATGTACCTTTTTTCAGGTACAGTGCAACCCCATTCAGAACAGTCTCTCCAATTCCTGGACTTGGAAACTCTAAATGTGAGCAGGTAGTTCTTAAAGATTAGCGTCTACAGCTCCAGGTCCTCTGTGCAACAGCAACAACAAAGGTGGTTATTCCCCCACTTTGCAGGTGTTTTCAAGAAGAGGGTGTGCCCATGAAGTAGTCAGTGAAATCTTTTAAGTCAGATTCCTTATCAACAGAAGAATTCCTTTTGAAGGTAGTGTAATGTTGTAAGCGGATTTTCTCTACAGATTTTCATATATGTGCTTTCATGGGGTGGAGCCAATTGTATTGGAATGATCAGATACGCTTTCAATTGCCCACTCTACTTGCAGAAAATGTTTCTCAGGAGCAAGGCAGAGATGGAATGAGATTCTTAATATTTGATAATGGAACAGCAGCAATGATCTGAAAAGGACAAAAGTCATTGCAATTTTGGCAGGACACTATAATTCCTCTACAGAACAGGAATGTTTTCTTTGGAGATGGACTTTATTGATACTGACTGCATTTATCAAAGAGTGCACAAGTATGTTGAAGAGTAACTAAACAAGATTATGAGATTTAGCATATGCTGCTGGAGAAACTGAGATGAACCCCCGATGGTTACCTTTGTGTCCCAAGGTAACCATATAACCCAGATTAGAAGCTCTTACTATTTTTCATTGACAGAAGCTAGTCCAATACAAGATATCATTTTTAAGAGCAATGCAACTTCTGTCTAAAGTAACAAAAGAGAAGTCAGCAGTTACCTAACTGGCAGACAAGTCAGTCATTTATGAGGGCATTAAAAAGTAGTTCAAAAGAGGCTTTCTTTCCAGGAAAGTACTCAATCCTTCATATTGAATGTCCAGTTGTGATGTGGCCTTTGCTTGCCTGTCATTTGCAACTGTAGTTCTGGTGCTTCTTTGAGTAAGCTTTTGCAATGCAAAGTTGATATCAAATGTTAACCTTCCCTTCTCTTCTTAACAGGTTATGAGGTGCACGGCCTAGAAAAAATACCTGATGGACCAGCCCTATTTATTTTTTATCACGGAGCAACACCTATAGACTTTTTCTACTTCGTGTCTGTTGTTCTTGCTAAGAAGAAAAAATTCATCCATGTAGTTGCTGATCACTTCGTCTTTTCATTACCAGGTAAAAACTGTGAAATGTGATTATGATGCTTGTAGATCAGTTAAGAGTACTAACTGGACATCTGAAGACACGTGTTATGGACAGGGTTTATTTGTTTGTGTACACAGGTGCATTCATACATAAATTCAGTGAGCAAATATGCAGTTTGTAGAGTTTTAGAACAACTCAAAATGCAGAAATGAACACTGGCTGTGTTTGTATGTCGTTTTGTTTCTCTCCCCCCCCCTTACATTTATATCCTACCTTTCTTCCACCATGGAGCCCAAGATGGTATACATATGATTCCCAGGCAGTTCTGCATTGAGATTCTGACCAGGCCTTGGCCCTGCTTACCTGTAGCAATGTGGTAGCTCCATGTGACTTCAGATCGCAGACCTGGGATCCATAGCTTACCATGACACATGAACACACTCACTGAGAATGTTCTTAAGTTGTGGCTTCTGCATTGCAGATTTGAAATTTAACTTACTTTATTATGATTTGCTTACTGGACTGAGTTCTGTCTTCAGTGGTGAAAATCGGTAACAATGATCTGAAAAGGGATTGACTGTACCTTTTCTAGTTGTAGCCCTTGAAGATGGAAACAGTATCTTTCATGACTTTTAAAAATATATCCTATATTAAAAACTAAATAACCATTCCTGAGGAATGGTTAGAAAATAAGGTGTTTCTTATTCACAGTTGCAGCCCCATACAGATGTAATACTTAACAGTGGTTAGCATTTGCCATAGTTATTTCCTTTACCCTTTGCTAAAATTCCCAAATGTGCCATGAAATATATCTTGCTGTGCTAAGCCATTACCCTTCGGTGAGAGTGGTGTAGAAAGACACTGTTAAACTAAATAAAAGTTAATGTGACCAAATGGAACGGTCACTTGCCAAATTATTAATTGTACCGAGAATTCTGTCTGATTACACCAAACTCTATGAAGCTTTTAAATTTATAGTCTATAAAACAATTCACAAATTTTATGAAATATAATGTGTCTTCAAAACACTAACTTTTCTAGAGTGATGATAGTAATGGTTTGTTGTTTCTGTATTAGTACCATGTAAGCCCTGCAGCACTAAGCTTGAATTGGCCCAAATGCACCTGATATGTGGAAATTAGGTAACAAACTTTGTCCTAGAGAAAAATGATGAGTTAATAGTTGCTTAAAATTATCACTATTTTGTTTTGAAAGTACCGTATTTTTTGCTCTATAAGACTCACTTTTTCCCTCCTAAAAAGTAAGGGGAAATGTGTGTGCGTCTTATGGAGCGAATGCAGGCTGCGCAGCTTTCCCAGAAGCCAGAACAGCAAGAGGGATCGCTGCTTTCGCTGCACAGCGATCCCTCTTGCTGTTCTGGCTTCTGAGATTCAGAATATTTTTTTTCTTGTTTCCCCCTCCTCTTGTGGTCTGGTGCGTCTTATAGAGCAAAAAATACGGTAAATGTTTTGATTAAGCCCAATATTGATGCAGGAGGATGTGAACAAGAGGTGGGTGCTGGACTGCATTTAGATGTATAAAATCCAATTCTTTCATGGTTTTGTTCAATATTTCCATTTTTCTTTTTTGCCTACTGTTTATTCCAGATTTCTCTCATGAGCTATTTGTTTCTTAACTCTTTGCAGGTTTCAAAATCGTAGTTGATGTGTTTCGTACTTTGCCTGGATCACAGGAGGAATGTATAAAAGCATTAAAGAGCGGACGCTCATTGGCCATTTCACCAGGAGGAGTTCGGGAAGCCCTGTTTGCTAATGAATACTACCCCATACTATGGGGAAATCGTAAAGGATTTGCTCAAGTGGCTATTGATGCAAAAGTGGTGAGTGTTTTCTGAGCATAAATGCAATATAACTTCAGGCATCTTAACCAAACCAGCACCATCAGTGTTGGAATCTTTCTATATGTAAAATCAACAAAGTAAAGACAGATGATTTGCTTGCTCATGTTCTTCATCCAGAGAGAACTACAAGAAGCAGAGACAAGCAAGCAGAAATTGAAACAAAATGGATGCACTTAATGGCTCTTCAAAAAATGTTTGTATGGAAGCCCACCACATACACTGAGAATCTATATAAATAATGTTTCCATTTATCCAAGTTGATCAGATCTTACATATTCCAAAGTAGTTGTATAAATGGTAAAGTATTGTGTTAGTGCTCTGGTTCTTCTGTGTAACACCGTAGTGTATGCCAACAAAACCATCAATTTCCTGGAAATTACAGAACATCAAATAAAATCCTGAATTGTTCCTCCTGTCTTATCTTTTGAATGGCCATCTAGACTAATGTGAATAAATGAATGCATTATATGCAAGGCTATTACTGAAGATTTCTTAATAGGTTATGTTGCTTTCAGATGTTTCGTCTGATTGACTATCATACAGTCTGATGGCTTGATCCATCTTTTTTTTGGAGGGGGGCTGTCCTGGTACAAAAAAAGGCTTTAATTGTATCAGTCTTTTCATTCTGAGAATTAATTTCATTTGCCCTTAATTGTTTTAAATAAATAGAAGGCAAAGTCTGCTTTTTCAAATTGCATTGAGGATGAAATTAATGATCTTATGGACAAAATAATGTTTTTTAACAGGAACAGCTCACATAGAATGCTGAGAAGTACCGTATTTTTCGCTCTATAAGACACACTTTCCCCCCTCCTAAAATTAAGGGGAAATGCAGGCTCCATGGCTTCAGCGAAAGCAACGCAAAGCCAGGAGAGCAAGAGGGATCGGTGCGCACCGATCCCTCTTGCTCTCCTGGCTTCGCTTTGCTGGAGAGGCGCTGCACAGCTTTCCCTCTCTGCGCAGCACTCCTTCAGCGAAGCGGGAGGAGAAATGGAAGGGGCTCCATTTCTCCTGCCGCTTCGCTGGAGGGTGCTGCGCAGAGAGGAGATTTTTTTTCTTGTTCTCCCCCTCTAAAACTAGGTGCGTCTTATGGTCTGCTGCGTCCTATAGAGCGAAAAATACGATATCAGAAGTGATAAGATCTTGATTGTGATCCTATATACCTTAATTTTTAGCATTCCAATTGTTTCTGTTAGAATATGCGGCTATGAAACACAAGCATTTGGGTGAAATAGATTCTTGTTCTAGTTGTGAGTAGAGTGGTTTGGTTTTCCTTTGAAAATACAGATTTACCTTGAGGGTTTTTCTTACTCCAAAACAAATTATTTCTTTCTCTACAGAATCACATTCTAAGTTTATAGGTGTAATAATAGGGGATTCATATTATGCTGTGGCTAAAAACTCAATTTTGTGATAGAGACCCAGGTTCAAATGCCCATTCCCATATGAATCTCATTGGGTAATCTGTTTCACTGGATAGCTGTGAAAAGAGTAAGTGGGAAAATTGCACTAAGCTCTTTGGAGCAAGCATAAGATACAAATGTAATTAATGAATGGTTTAGCATGGTTCTCTCGGCTTTCTACTCATTTAATTAATCCTATAATGATACAAAGTAATCGTTAGTGAGTAATCACTGAGGAATGCACTCTGTTATTTAGGATGCAACGCCTTGAGTGTGAGACAGAAACTGCTAACGCATGTCCTTCATCTTTACAGCCCATCATTCCCCCTTTTCACACAAAATGTTCGGGAAAGCGTTCGAACATTTGGTGGAATAAGTAAGCAACTTCAGTTTCTTGGGTTTTTATATTATGCTTTCAGTTGTTACATTTATTGCTTTCCTGGTTGAACCTTTGGCTTGCTATCTTTGGTGCATATAGGGGTAAGATTTTCTTTCTTGAACGATGTGGTTGACATTTTAATCATTAAGTGCTGTGAAGTGAATATGTATTTGTAATCCAAAACATCTGGAGGGATGAGGTTGCTTTATGCTAACTCAAGCTCTACAAATCCACAAGTGTCAGTTGTCCTTTTGGAATTATTAGCAAAGCCTTAATACCTAGATATATACTGTTCTGTGTAGCAAGGTGTTCCAGACTGGTTCCATTTTTTCTTAAATCTCCTATTACATCCCCCCCACCCATGCCTTTGACATTCAATTTTGTAAAAAAGAGAGACAGAGAAAAAGTATAATTCACAACCATTATAACAGAAGGCTTTGTTGCCTTTCTATCCCCTGATCCTTTTTGTTGCTTTCCTTTCTATTGTTCTCTGCCTCCACCCTATTCATGCTCAGTCCTCTCATATGTCTGCTTCTCAGCCTAGCCTTCAACCATCCTTTAGGCAGCCACCCTGCATCTGTTTATCCCATACTTTAGTTTCCATACTTCATAAGTCATCTTTCTGCTCTGCTTTCCCTGTGCCTGCTTCCTCCCTTCTCTTTTTCCTAGGCACTATACAAGAGGTTTTCCCCACCCCACCCCCCAAACCAGGCTCTTTAAAAAAATAAATGGAGGGTCACTATTGTAGTTGTTAAGTAAATCTTAAAATATTAGCTAATTGCATGTATAATCAAAGATAAAGAAGGCAGACAAAATTTCATTTAAGGGTCTTCCTAAAAGGGGTGGGGAATTTGCTGCAGTTCTCACACTGGTTTAGATATAAGTTCTGTCCCTCTTATGACAATAGCACATTGATTGACTATGGTCCTATGAAGACCTAAAGAAAGGCTAAGCAGAGAATCTACTGGTATTTATCACAGGACATGCTCCCTGTCTTATAACACAGGTATTTAAGAAAGCAGCAATATGTTTCTAGAACAATGACTCTTTCCTCCAAAGCAACTTTTGGAATCTCTTTCTTTTACTATTCTACACTAGGGAAGAGAGGTTATGTAGGACCTAAGGCTTCATTCATACATTATACTAAGCTATAGTCTTGGATTCCTGCACTTCTCTTTTTCTTCTCACAGTCATGCAGAAGAGGAGATCATAAGTTTTTGCTTCTGTTTTCAAGTAACTGTAGTTATTCAGTATGTTGAACCAAGAACTGTGGTTAGTGTTAACTATAGTTAAGGAAATGCAGTAGGATTCCCTAAACCAGAATTAATATCAACAGTTTGTCCAGATTCAGATATTACTGGTTGGTGGGAAATGGAAGCAAAAGCTTGTGATTGGTGGTGGGGGTAACATTACATGCAAACACAACCTACATCTTGGAGATATTCCAGCAATTACTTCTTCTCTCTCATGACTTCTGGCTTAGAATGCATAATCTGTGCAACTAGCTCAGGATTGGATATACCTGTACATATTCCAGAACTGTGTAGCTTTTAGCTTGCATCAGTAATTTGTGAGGCATTACTGTATAAACATGACTTGAAAGCCATTGCCTCCAAGATACCTTTAAAGAGTTGCATGATTTGGGCAACAGAACTTTATTTTACCTTCTATTCTCTTAAATATGTCTCCCCCCGCCTTCTTTTTAATGAACCAGAATTTCTTAGATGGGTGTATGAGAAGACTCGTTGGCCACTAGTCCCATTGTATGGAAACTTCCCTGTCAAACTACGCACATATATTGGAGATCCTATTCCATATGACCCAAATGTCACTGCTGCAGAACTGGCAGAAAAAGTAAGTTTTTGTTTTCATAATGCTGAAGTAGCAAAGTTACTATCCTAATCCTAAATAATTGTAGTGTAATATTCCTATGTTCTGAATACAGTTATGGAAACATCCCAAAGAGCCATGGGATGAACTGATTAATTTCATTGATTTTGGGGTGAACTGCCAAGATTGCCCAGCAGTATGCTAAATCAGTGGAGAACATTTTGGGAGGTTGTGATTTGAGAATGGGAATGGGAAAAGGTGAATTTGACCTGGCTGAGATAAAGATGCAAAGAACTAAAGAAACAAGAGAGTGCAAGGACAGTAGAATAAGGAATAATGAGAGATGGGAGAAGAGTGGCACATATCTCCTTTTGAAGATAGACCTTAAAGGTAAAGGTAAAGGTAAAGGTACCCCTGCCCATCAGGGCCAGTCGTGACCGACTCTAGGGTTGCGCGCTCATCTCGCTCAAGAGGCCGGGAGCCAGCGCTGTCCGAAGACACTTCCGGGTCACGTGGCCAGCATGACTAAGCTGCATCTGGCGAGCCAGCACCAGCGCCGCACATGGAAACGCCGTTTACCTTCCCGCTAGAAAGCGGTCCCTATTTATCTACTTGCACTTAGGGGTGCTTTTGAACTGCTAGGTAGGCAGGAGCTGGGACCGAACGACGGGAGCTCACCCCGCCGCGGGGATTTGAACCGCCAACCTTTCGATCGGCAGGTCCTAGGCTCTGTGGTTTAACCCACAACGCCACAATGGGAAAAGGTGAATTTGACCTGGCTGAGATAAAGATGCAAAGAACTAAAGAAACAAGAGAGTGCAAGGACAGTAGAATAAGGAATAATGAGAGATGGGAGAAGAGTGGCACATATCTCCTTTTGAAGATAGACCTTACAAGCTTTAAAATACATTTGTTGAAACATATCCAACTTGAATCTTGCTGTTCTGGACTCACAGCCAGAAATTTCTCTTATTCCATTCTTGGTTATGATGCTAGAGTGTATTGTGACTTCTCAGCTTCAGGTTTTTCTGGATGATTCAGCCTGTCATTAGGCTGGGTTAAGGAAGAGGACCAAGTTTACCTTGCTACACATATGGGATATTATTAGAGAACAAACATTAGACTTCTTGTGGATTTCGTTGCATATTTTGGGTCTGGACCCCATGTTAACTATTTAGCTTTGCTAACTATATGCTATAAATCATTGGATAGAAAGCATCAGAATTCTAACTTCAACCCACCTGACAAATGCCATTTTGTGCATTTGCATCTCACAGTTGTTTTGTAATTTTGAAATTAAACTGCTGGTATCTTGGGTTTTTATTGCTACTAAAAGGGCTAAATGCTGGTTTTAATTTTAATCTGTGACTGACTGAAAGCTGTTACAATAATGAGCTATTTTCTTTTTGACCTTATAGGCAAAAAATGCAATACAATGTTTAATAGACAAACATCAGAAAATACCAGGAAATGTATTTAGAGCATTGATGGAACGATTTGAAACACAGAAAAAAGAAGACTAGTGTCTTTTTGGGTTCACAAATAGTTGTAAAATATTTTTAAATTATGTTTATGATGTGATGTAATAGTTGAGAAAAATGCTATTGTATTTTACTTTCTTTACAATTGTACAGTTTTACAGAAAAACAAGTTATTTCCCCAAAAGATCCTTGTTAAATCTGGAACTTGGGAATCTTACTCTTTAGGTACCAACACAAAAATTTGATAAATTTTTAAAAGCACAGTTGTACCTTGGAATAAGCTATAAAATGGCTTTTTTGGTTTGTTGAAAATATATGAAATTTCCATACAAATTTTATTTAAATTGAAGATAACATTAGGATGTATTTGAACATTATAGCTGTGTCCATTTCATGTCTCGTGTGGGGTAACAGAGATTCTCCAATCATGATAAAGTCCTTAATTATATTTATTAACATTTGTGAAATGAAGATGATGCTATTGCTGTCAAACTAAAACTGCAATAATATGCATGGGTACCTGGGAGTAAATCTTACTGAACTCAATGGAGGCTGGCTTCTGAGTATACACGCATAGGATTGCACTGTAAGGGTGCTTAGAAAAGGCCCTGTGGATGCCATAATTTTACCATGTGTAAGGAACATTTAACTTGCATTACCTTCATTTGAAATCCCTAGAAATGCAAATTCCATCACAATTTGCTGTGCTGCAAAAGTATTTATTTGGAATTCCATGAACTTGCATTGCTGAGTTTTGCCTCTTTGTAGAGGGAGAGTATTCCCTCTAATACGTCCCTTCAAAGGTTTTCTCTTTTCCATCTTTGGTGGTGGCTGAAGGTTTAGAATTTCCATATACACTCTATAATAAGGAAAGCAAGCAGGATTAATACTATACAATTGCACAGTTCTTTAGCCCAAAAGAGCAGTAGTTGGATAGCCATATGCATCAGAAAAATTCCAAAACATGTAGAGTTTGAGCACTTTAGAAGGATATGAATGCACTGAAAATTGTGTGGACCAGGGCTGTGCTAGATGGAAACTTAGCTAATTCACATAGCAGCCGCAGTTATCTCTCCCCATATATTATGAAAGCTAAGTGGTGGGTGTATAGATACTGCTCCATTTGTGATGGCAGCGTTGAAGCCACTGAGAGTTGTTGGGAGACTGGCTCCACCTAGGGGCCTTAACATTTATTTCAAAAAAAATTATGCACTGCTTCCGGGTTAAAAACACGCAGCTGGAAGTTGTTTACAAAAAAATTAAAACAAGCAAACAAAAAATTAACAGCAATAATGCAAAACTTCCAAAAAGGTAAAATAACAATAGACCAGAAACAGATTTGAAAAACCACCTGGCGCTCTTATGTAGAGAGTCTGCATTTTGGCACCAACTGCTGGCAGAAATATATGACAATACTGTGAAAGCCTGATAAATATCTTGCATGAAACCACGACCATACAAGCATTTTCCTGCCAAAATGGATAAAGAGGCCCTGGATGCAAAATGATAGGTCAGCATGTTTATCCTTGGAATTGTATTCCAAGTTGGTCTGTAGTAAAACTAGTAATATGTAATGCTTTAATTAGGTTGTTTTTTTAAGTACTTTCAAAATTTGGTGGCTTATTTAACCTGAAGAGAGCTGGTTTGTGCTCCATAAATTGATGAGTTATACTGAACTTTCAGTGATGTGACTTCTGTTTAAATACCCGCCTTCAGGATAATATCAGTAACTCTGATATTTAGGTGTAAATACTTGAGTGGTAGGGACACAGGTGGCGCTGTGGGTTAAACCACAGAGCCTAGGACTTGCAGATCAGAAGGTCGGCGGTTCGAATCCCCGCAACGGAGTGAGCTCCCGTTGCTCGGTCCCTGCTCCTGCCAACCTAGCAGTTCGAAAGCACGTCAAAGTGCAAGTAGATAAATAGGTACCGCTCCGGCAGGAAGGTAAACGGCATTTCCGTGCGCTGCTCTGGTTTGCCAGAAGCGGCTTAGTCATGCTGGCCACATAACCTGGAAGCTGTACGCCGGCTCCCTCGGCCAATAAAGCGAGATGAACGCCACAACCCCAGAGTCGGTCACGACTGGACCTAATGGTCAGGGGTCCTTTACCTTTACTTGAGTGGTAGCTTATTTCCTAAATTTATATGCTACTTTTAAACATTCCAGAATAACTTGCCATGCTCATTTGTACTTCTTAAAATTAATATTTATATATTTAGCTTATTTGTTATTTTGCAGAATTTATCTTTATTTTTTAGTTTTAGCTTAAGTAAAACTACTTTAAAAATTGTCAGGAGCAAACTCCAGCTGAAGATGCTGTAAAATAGACTTTTTCAGTATACTTGAATACTAATCTGCATTGATTTGGAATATGTGAAATTGAGCTCCAGCTGAAGATGCTGTAAAATAGACTTTTTCAGTATACTTGAATACTAATCTGCATTGATTTGGAATATGTGAAATTGAGCTTTACATTACTTTTCAGATTTTAATATGTGTAAATAGGGCCTCACCCAAAACTCTTCAGGAGATCAATGTGCACTTCTTCTGGTCAGGGTAGGCCTTCCTGTTCAGTGAACATTTGAGCACTTATCTGCGCCTATCAGAAGATTGCTAGATTCAGGTTAGAATTGAGCTGCCAGAAAATTAAATTGGTTTGTTAAAATACATTTGTGGGCACTGATTTCTCTCCCAAATGCCTAAATAAATGGGATATGGTATGATTTTGCTTTTTAAAAATGGTCCCATGTCACAATCTTGCAACAAATGTAAACCTGATGTTAGTTAATACAAAGCTCAAGTGTGCTTCCTCAGTCCAGGGACCCAAACCTTTCTCTTCTGAGGCTTTTAGTGATAGTTTTTTTAATGGTGTTGGTATAATTTCCCATGAACCAATTTTATTGATCCATTAAAAGTCTTATTTATGGCCTTTCATGTGGCTATCTGTTACTTTTTAGATTCTTGGGTTTCTTTATCTTTAGAAAGCTGTTTTGAATATTTTAATTAGAAAAGTGGCCTATAAACATATTAAATCAGTCATTTGGACATGTAAAAGAAATTTGAACATTTCAAAATAAACAACTGCAAAATACTAATATCTGAATAATGATGCAATTACATCCGAATCCGGTTTACTTTCTCTTGCATTAGAAAACAGTGGCAGCTCTAATACCAGTTATAAGTGAGTGATAAGACAAATGACATTTTTAGAAACCTCTTTCTTTCTGTGATTGTAAGTTGTTTTAAACTGATCTTGACATTGTGTTTGAATTGCTGTAGCCAGTCCTGGGACCTTAGGGTGAAGGATGCTTAATAAATTTTAATACTATATGGAAAACAGCTCAGGTGGTTTCTGTTGACTTGATCAGATGTTATACTAGTGCAGTGCAAACATTCTAGTTATTTGTCCTTGCCCACAACTCCTTGCTGGAGTTCTGATGTGTATAGAAAAGCTGTCACATGCAGCAGCTTCTTGACAACAGCACAGGTTATAGCCAAAAGTGATGCAAAGAGCCTGTATGTATCTCAGAATGTATAACTGTATGAAGATATGTGTGCTCAAATGCACACATGGGTAGATGGTGCTCTTCAGTTCAGTAAAGTAAGCTGATACACAGGAGCAAAGAAATGCATCTGTGGATTGTCTCCATCCATTGAACTGAGAAAGCTCTTCAGGCAAGGAAATTTTGTATGAGCATTGGGGTTTCCACTCCCCAAACACATTGCTGGCTTGGTTTAAAGGTAAAGGTACCCCTGCCCATACGGGCCAGTCGTGTCCGACTCTAGGGTTGTGCGCCCATCTCACTTAAGAGGCCGGGGGCCAGCGCTGTCCGGAGACACTTCCAGGTCACGTGGCCAGCGTGACGAAGCTGCTCCGGCGAGCCAGCACCAGCGCAGCACACGGAAACGCCGTTTACCTTCCCGCTATAAAGCGGTACCTATTTATCTACTTGCACTTAAGCGTGCTTTCGAACTGCTAGGTGGGCAGGAGCTGGGACCGAAAGACGGGAGCTCACCCCGCCGCGGAGATTCGAACCGCCAACCATGCGATCGGCAAGCCCTAGGCACTGAGGTTTTACCCACAGCGCCACCCGCGTCCCTTGGCTTGGTTTAGAAGTCACTAATTCACAATCTGTTTTGCATGAAAGTGGTCCTGTTAAATTCTGGTGTGTGTGAGACAGAGAAGAGAGAGAACGATTGGGTGGTGGTGGCAAATATAACAGTAAGTTGTTTTTAAAAATAATACAATCTCACGCTGAACTGCAATTGTTTGTGTTACAAACCTGAAAAAATGGTATTGGTAAATTCCTTCATTTTTAAAAAGTATTGAATTGAGTATCAAAGCAAAATGCAGTATAATTATTACAGTCAATTAACATATCTCAGTTTTTCCACATTCTGTTTTCTGCATATTTGTATGGTATTCTGTGAAGTTTTTTTTAAAAACTGCAGAATAAAGTTGAAATGGCAACTAGAACAAAAATCCTGTGTGTTTTTCTTAATGCTTATAGTTTTCTTGAATAATAAATAACAACAAATAACTGAATAAAATGAACTTTCAGCCAGTTTCAGATAAAGAAGCACAGATGTATATCACTACTAGAGTAGACAGAAACACCAATACAGTGGTGCCCCGCAAGACGAATGCCTCGCAAGACGGAAAACCTGCTAGACGAAAGGGTTTTCCGTTTTGGAGGTGCTTCGCAAAACGAATTTCCCGTGTGCTTGCTTCGCAAGACGAAAATGTCTTGCAAGTTCCTGCGGGGTTTTTTTCCTTTCTCCCCCCCTTTTTCCCAAGCCGCTAAACCGCTTATCAGCTGATGGGCTAAGCCGCTTAACAGCTGGTCGCTAAGCCGCTTATCAGCTGATCGTTAAGCCGCTTATCAGCTTTTTCCCAAGCCGCTAAACCGCTTATCAGCTAATGGGCTAAGCCGCTTAACAGCTGGTCGCTAAGCCGCTTATCAGCTGATCGTTAAGCCCGCTAAACCGCTAATGGGCTTGCTTCGCAAGACGAAAAAACCCGCAAGATGAAGAGACTCGTGGAACGGATTCTTTTCGTCTTGCGAGGCACCACTGTAATATACCCAGGCACATTGCAGACAACTAGCCTAGCAAGTGTTCAGTTGTGTTAAATGCATAACGATTTTGCAGGAAGGCAATTATCTACTGTTAGAGTTCCTCTCTTTTTAACGCTGAAAAGAAAGAATGTCTAGACAGTTTGTCAACTTCTGTCAGGAATGTGATAATCATTAGACTAATTAGTTTGAAAGCCAAATTAGGCATCAAATGTAGGATGGCATGGATAAGGTGAGGACAGCGTTCAAGAGTGCCTTCCTTTGCTTGTGCAGGGGAGCAGCACCAAGTTGACATATTCAGCTCTCTCCTTCAGAATCCAAGCCAATGGCGTCTGTTATATTGGAGGGAGGGGGTGGAAAATAAGTCGTCTTATGGCATTTGAGGGCGTAAGGCTAGCTGCTACATTTTTAATGTTGGTTTGTTTCTCTATTGAAGATTTTTAATACCTCTAATTTGCATGCAATTTTAGCAATGTAATTATGTTATTTTGTTTTATTCTTTATGAACCTTTCAATTGTAAGCCAGCTTGAGAAGCCCTTTGATTTTGAAAGGCAACACACAAGTTGCAATAATAATAACTAACAGTAATAATAATAATTCTGCCTATTTACTGGATCTAGAATGGTAAATTAATCCCAGTTGCTGGGAATCATAGGGAAACGGTGCTTTCATGCTCATGTCCAGCTTGCAGGCATCCCGCAGGCAACTAGTTGGCCACTCTGAGAACACTAGATGGGCCATTGGCCTGATCCGGCAGGTTTGCCTTATGTTTTTAACTTGGGTGCAAACACTGATGTCTTCATATGTACTGCAATTTCATACAGCAGAAGATTACGTTCAAAAGTGCATTACAGTCAGTTGGCCCAAACAAAGAAGTACCGTATTTTTCACTCTATAGGACGCACTGGACCATAGGACGCACCCGACCATAGGAGGGGGAGAACGGGGGGGGGGATCTCTCCCTCTCTGCGCAGCGCCCATTCAGCGAAGCAGCAGGAGAAACGGAGCCCCTTCCATTTCTCCTCCCGCTTCGCTGAAGGGGCACTGCGCAGAGAGGGAAAACTGTGCAGCGCCTCTCCAGCGAAGCCTGGAGAGCAAGAGGGATCGGTGTGCACCGACCCCTCTTGCTCTCCAGGCTTCAGGCGGCTATCCGCAAGCCTTCAGAGCGCAGTGGGAACTCCTGCTGCGCTCGGAAGTCTTGCGGATAGCTGCCTGAAGCCCCTGGAGTGCAGCCTGTGAAGGCACCCCGCTGCCCTGCGGAGCCTTTGCGCAGCCATCCCCAAGCTAGAACAGCGAGACGGAGCGCTGTGCAGCGCTCCGTCTCACTGTTCTGGCTTCAGGGACAGCCTTTGAAGCCTCCGCAGGGCAGCGGGGTGCCTTCTCCCCACTGCCCTGCGGAGGCTTTGCGCAGCTAACCCCAAGCTAGAACTGTTCTGGCTTTGGGCTTAGCCGCGCAACCTGCATTTGCTCTATAGGACGCACATACATTTCCCCTTAATTTTTGGAGGGGGGAAAGTGCGTCCTATAGAGCGAAAAATACGGTATTCCTAGTAAAGAGATTAGGATCCTACAAGCTACTTGGCATGGAGACACCTCAGCCTCATACACCATTGTCATTGTTAACATTTACTAAGGAGTGGAAACCTCAGACTTTTTGCATGAAAAAGAAAATGAAATAGTGGCACTTGGATTTGAGGACTGAAGATAATGTTTGTTTATAGAAAGTGGTATTGTTCGGTGTTATACTGGAATAGATTAAGTGAATATTGTTATAAACTCTAGTAAAATCTATTATATATAAAAATAAATTGCTGTAGTTTTGGGAGGAAATTCTTTCCAGCAGAAACCGTGGTTGGATTGTGTCTCAGATATATGGACTCTTCATGTTGACATCCATGCCAAATCTAGATCCCTGAAGACTTACCGTTGCACAGTTGCTCAATCTTTTGAAACAGAATGCATTTACGAGCAGATGACAACCCATTAAAAGACTCCACGGCATCCATAAAATGACCACAGTGTACTTTATTTAATGATTTGGTACTTCGTGTTGCAATAAAAAAAAATCTACAAAATCCAAATATATAAAATTTTCAAGTTTTCCTTTGAAGTTTTACAAGAAAAATCAGGTTGTAACCAAAGAAATTTGTTAGTAGAAGCACTACTTTCAACTTCATTTCATCACAAATTGCAACTTACTTAACAGACCAAAAGAACTATGGTACTGTAGTACACCAAATACTTCACACACTGTGTTCTTTACTATAGCACATGTAACCACTGCCACACAAGACAGTAGTCTCTAGCTGATAAAGACACTCTTCACGATCGGGACTCTAAAGGAATGTTCGTATACATGGAATCTGAATATAGTTATTTACAGGAAGGATTTCATTTCATTTAACTATTTTTTGAATCTTCATTTCAAACAGAATACCAAATACATTTGTACAATGTTTACAATCCATAGCACAAGAACTGTCATGAATATCATTCAACTCGAGTCACTGTGCTTGTACCAAGGGAAATATCTACACTTTCCATAAACACAAAGGTGATCTCCCAGAACTTGTTTCTGATAATGGTTAAGTATTGAGTAAAAGCACAGTAACAATTAGTTAACACAATCAGTGTATAATTGCAACAGTTTACAACAGGAGCTGAGAAATTATTGGTCCACTCTATTCCATTCGTTAGTCTGCTGTTGACAGTCACATTTCATTGTTATGGCATGTTTTTCAGAGTTTTATATAATTACATATCTGGTACAGGAGAAACAAAATGAAAAAGACTCATGAGTGGAAAAAGCACAAATCTTTTAAGGCAAATTAAGCATATACAAGCAGTGACCGTTTCTGTTCCTGGGTATGTGGTTTTTGATTCTGGATAATTAAACAACACCTCACAGACCCATAGCTCCTGATCCAGCTATGCATGCACTGAGCTGAACAATCTACCCCACTAATTAAGATGGTTGATACTGTTGACTGTGGACACATCTATCACTTTTTTTTTTTTTTAAGGGAGGGGTCTAAATTCATCTTCCCTACCACTGAAGTGATTGGTGCTGCCATTTCCTATCAGGGCTGTTCTCACAGTTCCTAATCTACCCCCTCCTGCCCAAAGGTAGATGAAGCCTGGAAATTCAAATCAAGCACTATGTTTCACATCACAACACAAGACGTGTGGAAGCTTGTTTCTGTGCATGCACTGTCCTAATTGGATCAGGTAAAGATTGTTAGCAACTACAGTATGTTCTGTTCAGTGTCTTCTATGAATAAATTGGCATGGCTTTGAAACAGGTTTCATTTTCTAAACTGGGAAGGGCTGGTTGAGACAGAAGCCCTAATGAATACAAAGTGCATGCTTTAATATCTAGCGGGAGGAGAAAAATTAAAGGTAGCTGAGGTAGTTTGATGTAAAAATGCAACGTGTCAGAATAGCAAAAAAAAAAAAAAGTTATTTGGAATTTACTCACTTATATGTCTTTGGGATATTAATTAAAAATGGACACGACCCAGCCAGAGTTAAATATATGTAAGTTCCATCTGGATTCAGCTGAAATAAGAGGAACTTAAACATCCTTAATGTTCCTTGGGTTATGCCCAGGAATCCCTAGGCAGGATCACTTACTCTGCTGTAGTCCCATTTACTTGACCAGTTTTGTATCAGTAAATAACAAAGTCTCAGTAACTAAACTGTACAAACAAAAAGAACATTTAGAATTGATTTTCAAGTATTGATGTGTTTTTGCAGGTCTTCTTAATTTCCCCCCCAAATATGAGATAAAAAAAAATGACATGACTAGAATGGTGTGCTAACAATGTACCATCTGAACAAACAATAGCCCACTTAGCTGAGCTTCAGCAGGATTTCATAACAGCATCTGTAAGATATATTTTTACCACTGGAGACAGTCATACTTGTAGGAGTCTATATTACGATGCATTGTTTGGTCTCTAGCAAAGGGACGTTGACACTGTTCGTTCAGTTTAGCCCAGTACAGCCACAAGGATGAGCTCTGCAGTCCTCTGTTGTAAGGCACTGCATTTAGTCAAAAGGGCATAGATAACACTCTGCATTGTTTCCAGATAGGCCATGTCCACATTGGAAGGTGTCACTAGCCTTACTCTGGCATTTCACTCACATGTAAAACCTACACTCAAGCAGCGGCAAATGTGCTAAATTTTGCCCTCCCACAAGTTGAAGGTGGGTGAAGGTCTGAAGTGGGCAACCTCTTCTATTTATGGGTGCTCCCCTTGCAATATACCATGCTGGATCTTAAGCCACAGCCATGAGGACAGAAAGTACCCTGCTTCAGATCTTCACCCTTTATGAACTGAAAGGCAATGGGGCAGAGGTTAGCACTCTTGTCTCTGCCCGTGTGTAGGTTT